CATATGTGTAAGTGCTTCCGAAACCTCCTTCGGGAAGGATGGGGCTTCCGCAATGTACCTGTTCCGAGTGGAACGGGTACGTTTTCCCAGTGTTATCCAATCTCACTGAGTGGGTAGTGCTACGACAACAGTGACTGGCCTTCTTGTTGCGAACCCCGGCCTACACCAAAAGGGGGCGCAGGTGGCTCGCACAAGACACTGGAAGGGGCAGCATCCATTGTGCTTTGATAGGGATTCCCAATTTGTCGTCACCGACGTGACGTCGAGAGTGACCGACTGAAAGGGAACGTCTTGGTTACGTAATCGCATGCCAATGTGCATTGGCTCGTTTAGTTTACACTCGAAGTAGATTGGTCTCTCTAGCGAGATTCCTAATTTGTTGGTCACCGACGTGACGTCTCCGTTCCCTCCTTCGGGGAACGAGGGTTACAATACGTAACCGAGACATTTTTGGAATACATTTTCCTATTCTAGCTTATGTAAAATAAACCTGAAAAGTGTAAACTCTTTGGTGAAATTAAAAGATGCTTTTTGTTTGAACATCTAGACCAGTTAAACATAGCAGCATTAGCATGAGTTTTGGGTGGGACTATCAGTTTGTCCTACCAGTGGAAGATGGGGGAGTATTTGAGACACAAATACATATTTGAAAATATTTTTGCAGTTTTTATTTGGTGATGCTAGTGGCACAGAAATTACAGAAATCACTTAAAAAGTCATGTTTTTGACTAAAATTTCAGTAGGATATTTTTAAGAGTAACATTATACAAACTTTTGTGGGACTTTTATATATAATCATTATGTATTAGTAATAGTTTATATATTTTTATTTGTGCTGTCAATCAATTTAAAAAAATTAAGTAATTAATCACATATTTTTTCTGAAATTAGTAGTGATAAATCACGGTTAATCACAGCTAACATTAAAGTTTTTAAATATACTTGTATATTGCAGTAATTTCACATTCCATCTTCAAATTAATGTAGTAACAACATAAAGACAGTATATTTTTAATACTTGTTTAATGACATCTTTTTTATGACTGAAGGTGCGTACCACTGATACCATAAATACTGATGTATTTATGAAATTGTTTTTTTTCCTAATATTTAACGATTGACAATAGCCATTCAACATTGCAGTAATTGAGAGCTATTGATTTTAACATTTATTAGACTTTAAAAAATAACTTGGTATTGAAGTGAATTTAAAACAATCTTCACATAAACATACAAACATATTAAGCTCCCTGTGCCCTTCAGCAAGTAGGAAACATACAGAAAGTGAATAAAGTTATTAAACACTAAATTCTAAATTAAATATAGATGAATCCTTAAAGCTACAAAACTTAATGATTTCCTCTTTTTTTTTTTGCTTTTGTTCTTTGATTAACAGACATCACAGCAGCTGGGTTATTATGTTATTTTGGCTGCTTTTACACTCCTCATATTTTCTCAAAACTCTTTACCTTTTCTGACCCACTTCAACTCTTAAAGTCTACTAATGAGCTGACGAGTTGTATCGGGTGTGTTAGATGAGGGAGCCAGTGCTGGGCTGCTTGAAAACCACTTCATTTCAGAGACATGTTTTTAAATCTGACTCATATATAACAAATACTTACTGCATGCTGCACAGATTTAAGGCAGCTTTAATCGCCTTTTTGGTAACTTCATGACTTAACTGACGACATAACTATGACATTGCATGCTTGTAGTTTCTCTTACACTTTAATATTAATTGATACGGGCTACAGCGTGCACCGCCGGATTTGTGTGAGCAATTGAAGAGCACGTGCTAGGAGCACAGTAAAAATGGCTGACAGGACAGGAAAATTCATTTTTACTGACATATGGCCTGACGACATCTCATCTGACCGCAGTTCACTGTTGTTCTACTGAAGCTCCCTCGTCACCTGTACCTTTTATTTCACACTCGTTTGACTAGCGCCTGGCGCTGAGGTGAAGATGGAGTGCGCATCTGAAAAGTCTCTTTGATGTGGTCGTAAAGACGTTCTGCGTCTAAATAAATGCAATTCTTGTCAAGAAAAAAGAGACCGAACCAGCAGTTGTGAATGGGGTGGCCAACCCTAGCTCCATCCCTGTCTCAATTGCTTTAAATATTTTTTACGTGTTAAACTGAAAAAATGTATCACATGCGTTAACGCGTTAATTTTGACAGCACTCATTTTTATATTTTTAATTTATTATTATTGTTATTATTATTATTTACTTTATCAACAAAGGAGTTCGTTAACATTCATTGGCTTTTTGCTGTCTTATTTTTTCTTCTCTGAAAAACAATTCTTATTACATTCTCGCTCCTCTAGGGCCCTGTTTGATTATGACATAACGAAAGACTCCGGCCTGCCCAGTCAGGGGCTGAACTTCCGCTTCGGCGACATCCTACATGTCCTGAATGCTTCGGATGAGGAGTGGTGGCAAGCGCGGCATATGACTCCAGATGGCGAGATGGAGGAGATGGGCGTCATTCCCAGCAAGAAGAGGTAGGCTGTGCCCCCATGCATTCCAGAGCTCACTCTACTGTAGAAATATAGCACTGTTAACCCTCTTTACAATGATTAACACAATTGTGCATTTAAAGCCACATTACCCACGACTCGACTAGTCTTTCCACTAATGGTTCTTTCACAATGTCTTCTGTTTCAGTTCACTGCCTTTCTTCATTTTGGTTTAATTACTATGCGTTATGCATTGTAATTTGTAACGATGAGCAATGAGCACATGTATACTGTACCACCACAATGGTATCCAAGAACGATCATATTTGAGACTATATATGCTTACATAAGTGAAAGTTGAAGTAAAAGTCACTCTGCTCTCTGTGTGATGAGGGTTTTAACTTGACTCAGCAGCTGGAGATTTGAAAATGGTTTGATGTGGGCGTTTCTTCAATCAAGAGCACTTTTATGTCCCAGGGGTTTAAATTTTTTTTTTTAAACTAATAGATTAAATGTTTTTTTTAATCATCCTACGATCCTGTTAAAACTGCTTTGAGACTTTCTATGCCCCCAATAATATTGTATTAAAATTGCTTTACTTGGTTACTAAAGTGACTTGAGATGAAATATGAGATGTAATAAGTGAAGAAAATCATGCTGAGTTACAAAAAACGTGTGATAAAATTATTTAATTGTATTTAGGATACAAAAGATGCTAACTATGAAATTATCTTTAGCAAGACGAACAATTCTGCTCTATTTTTGACAAGGTCATGGGTGTACTGTTACCCATGTCTAATTAGAGCCTTATATTTCTATACTGATGCGTGATGCTGTGAGAGTTTCTCTCTCATTCTCTCCACTCTCTGTATACTGATTGAAGTTGATAATTGACTTCTCACCTCATTTTAAAAATGTTCCTCTCTCGCCTCCCCGCTGATGACGCTTTGGTCTTGAAGCACTGGGGGCAGCCAGCAATGCTCTGTATTTTTAGAAACAAGTTGGGATTTCTCTTTGTGAAAGTTTCTGATCTGCGTCGTCACATTTGGATTTTAAAGGTTAGATGTCATCTAGATTTTTTTAACCAAGCGTCTCATGTAAACTCTCCCTAAGAAGTACGCCAGAGCAGCGTCTGGTGGATGTTACCCTAAACCAGCCTAATTATACAGGACTTCCTTTAGTAATCCTTTACTCATGGTACATGGTACATTTTAGTTTAAACACATACATAATAAACTCAGGACACTTGTTGTGTATTAAGAGTGAAAACAGTCGTCCTACAGTGTTTGTCTCCTTCCTCTTCAGGGTGGAGAGAAAAGAAAGAGCCAGGTTAAAGACGGTTAAATTCAACTCCAAGTCTCGAGACAAAGGGGTAAGTGTTTGCTGCTCAAATTTTTACCATGTCTGGCGTGACACAAACATGCTTTTAATGCCTTTAAAAAGCAGCAGTTTATAGACTAATACATTATGAATGGGTCTTTTGTGTAAAAATGTAATTAAGTTTACTCGCAGTGATGCCAACATAATCTTAATTCGACAGAAACCAGAAACCATTATGAACACGCCTTGTAGCCTATTTCTAAAACATTATTTTATGCTAACTTGAGATGAAAAGTGCTAACAAGATGTTCAGCTTTAGAAACATTTTGTTGCACCTCTTGTGTGACTTTTCAAAAGTCAAAACTGTTCTCACATAGGATGACTAACAGCTGGCAAGTGTAAACTCTAACAAAGTAGTGAAGTATAAAAGTGATGAATCATTCTTCATAAATGAGATGCTTGTTTGAAAGTTTCTATTTGTGAAATTAATTAAAGTCTCTTTTTACTGAATGTAGTGTACTAATCCTGTATGTCTGTTCACAATTCTCTCCTGTGAGAGGATTCTTAACCGCATGTGACTATTAGGGCTGGGCAATATGGAAAAAAAAAAAAAAAAAAAAGTGTATTTTACATTCTATTCATATAAATGTTTACACAGAATATTAAGCAGTACAACTGTTTTCAACACTAATAATAACAAAAAATGTTACTTGAGCACCAAAACAGCATATTGGACATTCAAGATATATCACAGTATTTATATACTTGCTCTGACTTAATAAAAAAAATATATATATAAATTCAAAACAACCATATTTTCAACCGAACTGCCATTGTAGATTCAAAATGTTTAATGTAAGAAGTGAAATGCAGTAAAAAAAAATAAAAAAGGAATGTTTTTCGCATTGTTTCACTTTGTTTATTTATACTGTACCATTAACATAAAACAATAACACTAATGTAATATTTTGACTAACAGATTTGAATAATTATATGAAATATCCCACTGTGTGAATGGGCTTCAGTGAATGATACAAATATCATTAAATCAGTTATGAATAGATTCACTGAAATGACTGTTTGACCAAGTTTACCAATTTACTCCAACACAGTTTTTTCTAATGAAGTTA